AAAAAAAAAAAACACTCCATCTCAAAACATCTATTATAGTTTGTTGGAAAGATGTGAAAACCAAAAACAAATTTATCATAAAAAATTTTGCTCTTTTTTTCCCCTGCAAACTTTGCCCGTCTGACAACCTATTTTATTTATGTTAGATACCAAAAAAACAAAAAAAAAAACGTGAACAATCCTTCAAAGTTTTTCCAATATTTAGTTCAAAAAATGTAATTCATTCATCTACCAAACACTCTGTGATAAAACAAAAGAAAATTGTTTATTACAAATTAATATATAGTTACCTGATTGTTGTAAATAAATTTTTGTATGCTTATTATTCTGCTTAAATAATAACCAAGTTTTCATACTGACAGGTTTTGCACCAGTTGTTTTATCATTCTGTAACAGAAACTGTTTCCCTACATCAACATCAATAAAAACATTTTTTTTTTTTTTTTGAATTAGAAAAGACTAAACAAATAACTTTGGAAGCTGTGATTACTGCCTACCTGATATATGATAAATGATTGCAGTAGTTTGAGATCACCAATTAAGGTGACAACATCTTCATTCAGATGTTGTGCCGATAAAACCAGACGACGTAGTTCAAGGAATAAACTGACTTGTAAAAATGATTGTGCTGTGGCAGTAAAATTGATAATACAAAGTGAAGAAAGTTGTGATCCGAATTTATATAATACCTCAAAATATGGGAAAAAAAAGTGATTAGAAAACAACGACTGCTTCATACAGATTTTAACAACAACAGCAACAAAAACTGCCAATTTTAGTGTTGCTATTGTCACTGCTGTTGATAATGGTGCTTAATAGTTTACTGAATGTTTATATGTAATCAAATAAACCTCATCAAGGAAAACGCCACCTTCCCAAACTTCCAACTGTAATTCACGTAATGCCAAATCAACAAGTCCATCCAACTGTGATAATAGAAACAGAAGTGATCGTAACATTTCACCACCGGTACCAATTTGCTGAAAATTTGACAACAACAAAAAATAATAGTTTAGGCAACCTGTTGATCATCAACAGTTTATCTGTATCTTAACTCTAGTCTATGAGTTGTGTTAAATGAGTGTGTAAATATGATAAACTTTTAGACAACCATTTCCTGTTCTCGGTCTCCTTCGTGAACATGAAGCCTCCATTCAAAACTGAATGATCGAATTTTATTCAACGGTCTATCATTCTCATAAATACCATCACAAACTTTTGGTGCATTTGCTAAGAGACGAAAAAATTCGTATAAATTAAACAGAATTGTAATCGGTTCAATCACAAGTTTTCGCCATTTTGGTGTTGCCCGTACTATAAGCATCCTAAAATAGCAAAAAAAAAAAAA